GATCTCGGCTCACTGCAACCTCTGGCTCCCGGGTTCAAGCAATTCTCCTGCCCCCAGCCTCCTCAGTAGCTGGGATTACAGGCGTGTGCCACCATGCATGGCTAGTTTTTGTATTTTTAGTAGAAACGGTATTTTACCATATTATTCAGGCTAGTCTCAACCTCCTGACCTCGTGATCCACCCAACTCAGCCTCCCAAAGTGCTGGGATTACAGGTATGAGCCACCACACCTGGCCTAAAGTTCTTGTATCTTAGAATGGCGTTATGGGGCACTAGGTTCTTCAAAGAGAGAATAAGCAGTGATGGCTAGTTTCTTTATGAAGTTCTATGAGAAGTGGTTTGGGAGAATGTGAGGTGTAGATAAGATTCCATATGACCACTATTTTATCAAATCCATTTTCTGTTGTGGTGGATTCAGCTGAACAATAACAATCATTGGTGTGTCTTAAAGTTAAAATGTAGAGCTCATAACCTAGGAAACATCTTTAGGTTCTTACTGTATACTGGGAACATTTTCAGTCATATCTTCGATATTCAAAAAAAATTCCCTAGGTATTTAGAGTCAAATGAGAGTCTTGTTAGGTCTTCTTGTATGACTGTAGAAAGGAGACTACTGTTCTTTAGTCCTTCCTCAGCCATACATGAGGTGTTTGGGGGAGAATTGTGGAATGTTGCTGTGGCAAAAGGTAGGTGAAATAAAGCACATCTTACATCTTAATAATTGTTTAATAGCTTGCAAGTCCACAGTAAATATTTAATACTATCTATAAAGTGACAAATATAGGTAATTTTAGGGATAAATTTGATTTCAGTAATAAGTTTTTAAATCTTAGTATACGGATATCCTAAGTTTTGTAGTTAATTTTTTTTAACCCTCTCTTCTCTTTAATGATTATAGCTTGTGTACTGCTTATTGGAACTTTTGCATCCAAATTTTTTCTCTTTTCTACCCCCCCCCCCCACCTTTTTTTTTTTTTTTTAACTACAGGCAATTTTTCAGGAACTCCAGGCAGTGTAAAATCATCTTCTGGAAGTTCAGTGCAGTCTCCTCAGGATTTCCTGAGCTTTACAGACTCAGATCTGCGTAATGACAGTTACACTCACTCCCAACAGTCATCAGCAACCAAAGATGTACATAAAGGAGAGTCTGGTAGCCAGGAAGGGGGGGTAAATAGTTTTGGTTCCTTGATTGGCCTTCCTTCAACCTCAGCTGTTATTTCACAGCCTAAAAGCTTTGAAAATTCACCTGGAGATTTGGGTAATTCCAGCCTTCCTACAGCAGGATATAAGCGGGCTCAAACTTCTGGCATAGAAGAAGAAACTGTAAAAGAAAAGAAAAGGAAAGGAAATAAACAAAGTAAACATGGGCCTGGTAGACCCAAAGGAAACAAAAATCAAGAGAATGTTTCTCATCTCTCAGTTTCTTCTGCTTCACCAACATCATCTGTAGCATCAGCTGCAGGAAGCATAACAAGCTCTAGTCTGCAGAAATCTCCTACATTGCTCAGGAATGGAAGTTTACAGAGTCTCAGTGTTGGCTCCTCTCCAGTTGGTTCAGGTAGGGACTTGCCTTTTATTTTTCTCCTTCACTTCTACAACCTCCCTTCTTTTGTCTCAAAACATTTTCAACTATTGTTACAATAATACTTGGAATTACTAAATGACATTTAATGAAAGTGAAATTTCTCCGTTTTTAAATTTCCTAATGGAAAATACAAAAATATCTTAAAGTCTTAGATGGTTTGTTTTTTGGGAAAGATGTTTGGCGCTAATTTGATTTTACTTAATTAAAAGTAGGCTGTTGGTCATTACTTACAAAACACTTAGAAATTGTTTCCTTTTTTTGTTTCACCTGCACAGCATTTTTAAAAAGCCAACACAGAATTTACATTTAGGGTGTTTTTTGTTTTATTTTGAGCTTCCTTTCTGTAAACTGCAATGTTAGTCTTCGTTTTTCTAAATGATTCCAACAGAGTCTCACTGTCGCTCAGGCTAGAGTACAGTGATGCGATCTTGGCTCATTGCAACCTCTGCCGCCCACGTTCAAATGATTCTCCTGCCTCAGCCTCTTGAGTAGTTGGGATTACAGGCGCCCGTCATTGCGCCCAGCTAATTTTTGTATTTTTTAGTAGAGATGGGGTTTCACCATCTTGGCCAGGCTGGTCCTGAACTCCTGATCTCATGATGCACCTGCCTTGGCCTCCCAAAGTGTTAGGTTTATCGGCGTGAGCCACCTCACCCAGCCAGTTGCTCACACAGATATTACTTGAGTTACTCTATCCTGGGACATTTTCGTATTAATGATAAATGATTTTAATTTATAGAATACAGTAATCACATTTTATTTCAGGGGATACCTGAAATGATTTGATTTTGTTTTCAAGTATACTTCATGATTTCACAATTACTTTTATTATAAGACAAATGAGTTGATATACATTGTTATGCACACCATTGGGATGTTTTTGTAACCTGCAATTTGTATTATGAATAGTATTTTCAATTTTTAAAAATTTCTTCAAAATGTATATTTTTAGACAGACCATTAACAGTTGATATTAACTTAAATGTCAGCATTTATCTTTTAAATTGCATCTTGAATTTAAAGTAAATGGTGTTCAATAAATGTTGAAACCTTTCTTTTAGCTTTAGATTTCTGATTGTTGAAATAACGAGAATTTAGCTAAGATAAATTATTATGGGTTGTATTTGTTCTATTAGTTGGTGGCAAATGTAGGTAGGAAATGGTATGGAAAAATGATACAATTTAATGGAGAACATTTGTGTATGTTTTATAAATAAAAAATTTTAGGTTGTTTTTACAGTTGTGAATATACAGTACTAACTTCAGTAAACATAAAATAGACCACTCCAAGAGAGAAAAAAGCATATGTAATGGTCAGATGTGAGAAATAGTAACTATAACTGTCCTTTGTTATGTGCCAGGTTCTGTTAATATTTTATTATCTCATTTAACAACAGTTATAAAATGTCCCCATTTTACAACTGGTAAAACGGAGGCTTTGAAAGGTAAAATAAGATGCCCAAGATCACATAACCAGGAGTTTCTTTGTATTCAGAAATGAGTGGAATCTATAGAAGCATTAAGAGTTATTCTAGAGCAGGATTTATCAATCTTAGCATTATTGACAGTTTGGATGGGACAAGTCTTTGTGTAGTGTTACCCTGTGTATTCCAGGATATTTACCAGAATCCCTAGTTCCTTCCCCCTAGAGGCCAAGAGCGTCATCACACTTCCTCTTCCCATAGTAGGAATAAAAAATGTCTCCAGACATTATTTAATATGTTGAATGTGTCCAGGAGACCAAAACTACTTCTAGTTGAGGATCACTAGTTTAGAGGTGAATAATATATATAAATTGCAGTGAGAAAGAAGTTCATAGAAAGGTTTAAATATATTGCACATTTGAACGTATGCTTTTATTTACATGTTTCCTTTGAGATTAGAAGGGCTTAGCAATAAGCCCCCTTGTCACAAAAGTACTTTTAGACCAATTTAATCAGAAAAAAAAATTGGATTTCTCTTCACTTTTAGCAGGAGGCATAGTAATTTACATGAATACCTTACTGAGAAAATAAAGCCTAAATTTGCTTTTGTGGAGAAACTTCTTTACTGATTTTTTATAGTTTTGAAGCATTATCTGGGAACTTCTAAATTTCAGAAATTATATTTAAATGCTTATTTAAACACATCTTCAAATTAATAAGATATTGATTTATATCCCTGAAAATATTTTCTTATCTGTTACAGATTTGGGGAGATGTTAGGTATGAGGAATAGTAAATGCTTAATATTTACTATGTTCACAGCACTCTTCTAGAAGTGGGGATACAGTCGTGAATGTCAGAAACAGCCCCTAGCCTCAGGAGTTAGTATTACAGGGAATGTTACAGTTTAACCAACAGGTGCTTACAAAGGTCATCTTCATCATTACTAAATTATTAACCCATCATTCAAGAAAGTCAATCTTACAAAAAGAGCATTGTGAAAAATAACGTGAGATAATGTAATACATAATACAGTTGTTTTCTGTATCTGTGGGATTCCACATCTGGGGATTCAACCAACCTTGTCTAGAAAATGTTTTAAAGTGTTAGTTCACAAAAATAAACGATGTAAGAAATTTATCTGCCAAGAATTTTTTTAAAAGTTGTGTTTAAAAATTACTCAAGCCAGGTAGGGTGGATCACCTGAGGTTAGGAGTTTGAGATCAGCTTGGCCAACATGGTGAAGAACCATCTCTACTACAAGTGGTGGTGCCTGTAATCCCAGCTACTCGGGAGGCTGAGGGAGGAGAATTGATTGAACCTGAGAAGCAGAGGTTGCGGTGAGCTGAGATCACACCACTGCACTTCAACTTGGGAGACAGAGCGAGACTATCTCAAAGAGACAAAAATTACCCTGGCAATTTTATATGTCTTTTAAAGCTATAATTATGGAATAAGATTACTGAAAACTATTTGAGATATATTCTTTAGTTTTTTTTTTTTTTTTTTTTGAGACAGAGTTTCACTCATGTTACCCACGCTAGAGTGCAATGGCGTGGTCTTGGCTCACCGCAACCTTCGCCTACTGGGTTCAGGCAATTCTCCTGCCTCAGCCTCCTGAGTAGCTGGGATTACAGGCACGCACCACCATGCCCAGCTAATTTTTTGTATTTTTAGTAGAGATGGGGTTTCACCATGTTAGTTTTATGTTAATAAATATTTTAGGACTTAGTGCAGAACATTTTCTTTTCTCTGTCTCTTTTTTTTCTTTTCTTGAGACCGAGTCTTGCTCTGTCGCCAGGCTAGAGTGGAGTGGTGTGATATTGGCTCACTGCAACCTCTGCCTCCCAGTTAAAGCAATTCCCCTACCTCAGCCTCCCAAGTAGCTGGGATTACAGGCGTGTGCTACCACGCCTGGCTAATTTTTTTGTATTTTAGTAGAGATGGGACTTCACTATATTGTCCAGGATGGTCTCGGTCTCCTGACCTCATGATCTGCCTGCCGTGGCCTCCCAAAGTACTGGGATTACAGGCATGAGCCACTGCACCCAGCCAGAACATTTTCTTACTGATAATAGTAAAAAGTATATCCTTAACTAGAGAGGCTTGGCTTCATGCCATGAATATTTAGGAATTACATTGCTTTAATCATGACAAGAATTGCCAACTGCTGATGAACACTGAGTATGTGCCACATACCGTGTTAAGCACTTAAGTATTATTATATAGGACAAGAAACTGAAACAGAATTCTCATAGGTTTTTAAGTGATGGAGATATGCATTTTCCCAGGGTCCAGGGCTGCTTAATTACACAGTTCAACAAATGTTTGCTTATGAGGGTCTAATACCACACTAGTGTCAATCATACATAAAGCAAAGAGATACCTGAAAAAATCTGAGCCTATAATTTAACTTTCAGCAATAATATTTCCTATTGGTATGAAAAGTTAATTTTTCCTTTGGACTAATTTGAAACTGAGAAATAATTTAGTAATTGTGGAAACAAGAAGCTTTCCATATAATAAATAAGTAGAAAGGAGAAAATGTATACCGTCATCCCTTGGCATCGATGGGGAATTGGTTTCAGGACCTCCTGCAAATATAAATACCAAAGTCCAAGATGCTCAAGTTCCTGTTATATAAAATGTCATAACATTTTCACATAACCTATGCACATCTTCTGATGTGCTTAAATCATTCATTTCTAGATTACTTAATATACCTAATATTATGTAGGTGCTATGTAAATAGTTGTTATACTATATTGCTTAGGGAATCATGACACGAGAAAAAGTCTGCACACATTCAGTACAGACTCAATCTTTTTCCTCCAAATATTTTTTCTTTTTTTTCTTTGAGATGGTGTCTTGCTTTGTGCAATGGCGTGATCTCGGCTCATTGCAACCTCCACCTCCTGGGTTCAAGCGATTCTCCTGCCTCAGCCTCCCGAGTAGCTGGGATTACAGGCGTGCACCACCACACACAGCTGATTTTTGCATTTGTAGTAGAGATAGGGTTTCACTGTGTTGGCCAGGATGGTTTCGATACCTTGACCTCGTGATCTGCCTGCCTTGGCCTCCCAAAGTGCTGGGATTTACAGGCATTAGCCACTGTGCCCCTTCTCCTCCAAATATTTTCTATACAAGGTTGGTTGAATCCCCAGATGTGGAATCCCAGATACAGAAAAAAACTGTGTTATATATTACATGATCTCAAGTTATTTTTCACAATGCTCTTTTTATAAGATTGACTTTCTTTCTTTTTTAAGATGGGGTTTCAGCATGTTGGCCAGGCTGGTCTTGAACTCCTGACCTCAGGTGATCCACCCACCTCAGCCTCCCAAAGTGCTGGGATTACAGGCATGAGCTACTGCGTCCGGCTTAAGATTAACTTTCTTGAATGATGGGTTAATAATTTAGTAATGATGAAGTTGACCTTTGTAAGCACCTGTTGGTTAAACTATAACATTCACTATAATTCTAAATCCTGAGGCTAGGGGCTTTTCCTGACATTCACCACTGTATCCCCACTTCCAGCACAGTGCTTTG